AGTATACTAGTAGAGACAGTCCAGCAGCCACTTATATATTTGCAATATTTCTTATAAAACAAAGTTATGAGCATTTAAATTCCCGAACAGAACTTCTGCAACGATCTCACCACTAAAGGCGGTGGAGCCGGTGGGGCATCGTAGGACCACTCTGGTCGAAGTGTTGTTGTCGCCTTAAAGGTTTCGGTTGCAACAGTAGGAAAAAAGGAAGTAAAGATCTCTCACGATGTTCGTATTTTGACAAAAGCTTGCTCCTGGGAAAAGCAGCAGATAATGGTAAAGTGTTGATCCGGGACTTGTGCAAAACTTCCTCACTCGTACTTGTTTACCGCTTCCAAAAACAGCCATGGAACATGATGCTATGCCTCCTGGGCATGTCACTTTCTGAAAGATTTCAAATACTACTTCACTCTTCGTTATTCGACCTTTGTTGCACCGACTTTCAGCGCTCCTTGTGCAAGATCTATCCTTACTTTTACTGTGATTAAGGAATTTGCTCTCTAAGAAGTCCCAGTTACCACAACATAAGTTTTAACTCTGTTTAGTCATCAGTCACAATATAAGTTTTAACTCTGTTTAGTTATCACTCAATCTTGACCACCCATTATATAAATCATACAAAAATTTTAAAATCATAAAATAAAACTTTGAAAACCACCTTAATTTGGAAATTAAGAGAAAGTTTGTGCAGAAAGTAGGTCATTTGTCAGGCACTTCCAGGCTCAAGATCGTTGGGTTGTTCCATTACATAGTTCGCAAAATTCGAACTCTCTTAGTAGTTTGGTTACTTTTTTTTTAAAAATCATGCATCCGTAGGCCATCCCCTAAAAGGGCCGGCACTGTCCCTCCAGCACTTCTGTGCGGTACAGTGGTTCAGTGATACATTCATTTGATCAGTGATGGAAAAAAGATGATCGGACCTTGCCTTTTACCCCTTATATAGGACAAAATGTTGTTGTGCCGCATAGTAACCTGAATGTCTACTATACCGCACAACTTTCATGAGTTTTTTTCTTATTATTCTCAATTTTGCTCAATCATTAGATCTTTTTCTCGGAATTCTTCTAATTATGGGATTCGACCAAACTCGAATGTTGCTGTTTTTTAGAAACGATAAGTCTCCGCCCGGCCCAATATCAGACGTTGCTTTGCATATTTTCGCTTTACAGATTTTCTAATGATAGGCCTCGGCAGTAGGTTGGAGGGCAAGCTGGTTTGTTTTTGCAAGCAAAGGGAAAATTTTATGGGGTTCGGGGTGAAGCCTGGAGTTCATTCTCATTATGGCCGCTCCTTCAACAACAATAATGTT